ACTGCATGCTATACAAACAAATTTTGTTTTTATAGTGACTTACATTCAATAGAGGTAGTATTTATGATAAGAAAAGGCAGCTGAGAGATTCAATGAGTCCAAACAAAAATACAAACAAGGAGCCTCGTGCTTTGTTGGAGCAATTAATGAAGATGGGTGTGACCGATAATGATAATTAACTAAAAACGTATAATACCTGAACAGTAAGCAAAGATGACCAAGATGTTTACAGTGGTATTTGAAGAAGACAGTCAGTACTAAAGTTCTGGTGGTACAAAACTATTCTTCGAACAAAGCTTGCTTCGTTGTGGCTAAGTGACGAAAATTGAGTTAACACGGCCGATTATTGTGTGAATCTACGAAGTGTGTTTAGCAAATTATATCTTTACAAAGAAAGAAGGTAATGCTTTGATTTTTACCATGCAAACAGATATTGTAATGATCTATATCTAGTGCAAAAATCACTGGAAAATCATGTTTAGTTTTCAAAATATAACTGTCCGAAGTTTGATTAGTCCGATAATTGATTAATTACTCTAATTTGAGCTGCTGCTGCATACTAGTGCACAGCTGTGATGCATTATGTATGAAGTACATTTACAAAGCAGTGTATATATTGAAAAAAATAAAAGATTTAGGACGGCTACAAAAATCAAGAGTGAAAGCAAGAAATGAGAAGGATGGATAAGAAAGGAAATAGAAGAGACTGAGAGAAATTACAAATAAAGAATGGGAGAGAAGAGTTGAAATAGATCTGAGTAGAAAACAAGTTACAGTTACAATAAAAACGTATGCTACACTCAGTAGTACACTAAAAACATTACATGATACTTTAAAAGGAAGCAGTACAAGAGAAGAGTGGTAGTGAAGAGAAAGGCAGAACAAATAAAAAAGTTTGGAAGAGAATTTGGAAAAAGTAAAACTACATGATACTAAAGACAACAAAAGGCAGCAGAGTAATTAAAATAAAAGGTAAATTAAATTACAATAATAAATCAGATCTTTATTGCTTTCAATGACTCTATTACTTGGGCCATAGTAGGACGAGCTCCAGCATTAAGCCCTCTTTGTATGAGAGACTTCATGGGAGGCCAAGAAATAGTACCAGCTTGTTGTTCTCTCTTTGCTAGTGTCATTTCAGGCAGCAGATGTAGTGTCATTTCCATGAGGAGAACAGAGTAACTGTAGACATCCATTGCTGGACTGTGTTGTTCAGGATCACGAGCTTCAGGAGCAGCATAAGCAGCATTGCCTGGCATAATAGTAGAAGTTGTTTCTTGGAGATTAGCTGTACCATAATCTGATACTTTAGCTTCATAACCAGCAGGCCCAAAAGGTTTTAACAATACGTTAGGACTGCTGACATCTCTGTGAATAATAGGCTGAGGCTTAAACAGGTGAAGGTAGTTGAGGCCTAAAGCTACATCTTGAGCAATACTCAGAATCTGTTGCTTTGTCAATCGGATCTTCTGAAGCTCCTTGTGAAGGCTAGTGTTCATGAGCTCAGTCAAGATGAGAGGAGTACCCACTTTAGTTGCACCAATAAACTGGACCAGGTTAGGATGACGTACTCGTGATGCTATACTCATTTCCCTGGAGAAGAGAGCTAGATTATAATCTGAGATGATGATAGTATGAAGTGACTTGACAGCTACTCTTAAACCTCTAAAGATACCAATGTTAACAGTGGCATAAGACCCTCTTCCTAGCTCTACTCCAGTCAGAGTCACCTCATCTTTATCAATGACCCAGTGATCATCAGTAAGTATTTGCTGCTGGTATATACGAACTGCATCCCGAGACTCTTGTAGCTCTCTTTCCTTCTCCTGTAGCTCCCTGTCCTTCTCCTGTAGTTCTCCATCCTTCTCTTGTAATTCTCTCTCTTTCTGCTCTAACTGTAAATGAAAATGTTGTTCATCTCTTTCCTTTTCTGCTTTGCTGACACGAAGGTTTTCCATTAGAGATTGAATGGTTGATTGGTCAATATCGGCTCCATCTCTTTTTCTTTGCTTCTGGCATTCCTCCAACCATTTGCTTCTTCCTAACTGAAGTTGCTGATGATATTCGGTCTTGTATTCTTCATTCCCAATACTATTGGAGTCTAATGTATCACCTACTGTCCATTCTCCTTTACTGTTAATAACTAAAAAACATAACAATATTAATTAACTAATAATTATTCTGTTGAACTACCGTATAGTGCAAAATTTTCAAGGGCTGTAAATTTTCGAGGGCTGTAAATTTTGCAAATTAGCCTAAAAATCTATTTTGTGAATTTAATTTTCATGAATTTATGCTGTCTTCTCATCTTGTACCATAATAATTTGATTTTTATAGAAGTAATTTTCAAGAATCTTCAAAAAATCGTGAAATCTGCAAAATTTTCAACCCTCGAAAATTTTGTGCTATATGGTATAAATAAAAAAGTAAAAATATTTTTAACTTGGACTCTTTTACATTTTGAAAATGCTAAATGTGCATGTTTACTATTGTTATAATATAAACATTCCATTTACACAAATTATGTGTCTTAGGGTTAGTCCATGAAAGAATTCAATATACATGCAAGCAAGAGTAGATTATCTAGTCTTGATGCAAGGATGAATCTTTACTCACCCAATGCTACTTAGATAGAGTAACTCATTTATTGACAACCTAAAAACTTAGTTTCCATTAAACTTGTCAACACAGACAATACCATTTTATTCTGCAGCAGTCAAGTGAATGACACCATACAGGCTGACAGAATTGAGCCTTTCTTGTTATAAAAATGCCTTCATGCATATTGCATGATTTGCATCCAGAGCAAACTCAACTGGAGCAGCATAGTAAGCTTGCAACTTTCCAAGTTAATGTATATCTAACTTTAGCACACCATTACTCACCTAATTCAGTTAACATGACAATGTTAGGACACTGAATGATACCATCATTAGATCCATCATCTCCTCCAACAGCTATTATCCAGACACAATGAGGACTCATAATAAACGCTGAAAGAGTATGACCAAATCTCTTACTGACAGAGTGAGGTACATCTAACTGTTGATGGAAATAAATTAAATAACATTAATACTTTACAATATAATAATAGTTAGAGTAGGTCAGGATAAAAAAATCAAAGAAAACAAAACAAAAAAAGAAACAAAAAAATAAATGCTCACTATTTAGTTTTGTGTCATGTGACATGAGATTATCATGCATATACATGTAGTTAGCACTTAATATTCTATATAATGCTTTTGATGAAGTCTTTAGCAGCATTTTTGTCTTATTTTGCTGCGAAACTTTATCCCACCATTTTAAATGAGTGTGGGTGGGACTGGTAAAATTAATACATTGTGTATAGCACATGTGCATGTGGAATCTTCATGCAGGCTATCTGATATACAAGGCTGAAATGCAAAACTGTGAATAATTCCATTTGCATGAAACAGGAAGTGTGTGAAAGCATACATGTCCTATATTTTCATCACATGCAGGAAGAGAAAGAAGCTAAACTATACAAGTTAAAATTTTTGTACTTGTAAAAAACTGCAAAATAATTATAAGACATACTTTAGTCCAGAAGCGTTGAGTGATATTAAAAATATAACAATCATCAAGTACATGTGCAGCTTTATTTATTCCACCACTTATCACTAGCATAGGAGGACTTTCTGATCCAGTCCTAATAATAGCACTTGCATGAGTGGCTCTCCCCACAGGCCATTGGTCTATTGCTTCAGGTTTATTTACACACTGCCAGAACTAAAAGAAAATTTTTAAAAATATAATTATTGTACTAGAATAAACAGATTATAATTGTAGATTATTATAAGTATCAATATTTATTTTAACAATAATAGCTGTAATCAACAATACAAAGAGAATTTGAGAAACATAAATCTTTTCATTGCCTTTAGTGTACAAATTTTAAATAAATATAACATGTCTTAACCCAGCTATCATAGCCAATAGCCTAGTGCATAGGTGTGCACCTCAGTTAGAATAATTGGCCAATGGATGGACCTTTGCTCATTATAAGATGGTCCCTTGCTCCTCATTTGTCTAATTTAGTTACATTAGCTACTAGTTAATTTTTGTAAGGTACTGTCACTATTATTTGTTAGTTGGTATAGTTAGAGGTGCAGTTCTTATTATGTAACCTTCCAAGGAATCAACAGTTAGACATATAGCAGGTTAAAACATTTTTACTCTTCTTGCTCTGCTCAATTTATTCAAGACGGGGACAGACAATTTTAAAGTAATGTTATTGTTTTACAAAGACTTAGATTTGAATATGTGTACAGTACATACTTATATTAAATTGACATACCACATTATTACTTGAAATCTCTAATAAATAAATGTTGTTACTAGCACTATCATCAGTTATTTCTGCTCCACCAAACACAATAGCTCTGGTACTACTAATCTTATTAATAGTAAAGGAAAAAATAGCTGGTATAAATTGACCAGTGATTGAAGGATTGCTCCATTTCCCTAATAATAATAATAATAATAATTTGTTAACTACGTGGCATATGGTAGTAATGGCACACAAAGGCTTCTTTTTTATCACACATATATATACTTAAATCATATACATAATAACTGTAATACCTTAGCTCTTACTTAATGAAAGATTATACATTGAGTGCTCATTAGTAGCCCATCTTCCATTACGGCCATCAATATATTTATAACATGGTAGTTGTACAGCTGGTTTAGATCCCATGCCTCCTATCATTAGTAAATGGTGTACTCCATCATGCTCAAATGATATCATTCCATAGAAGCCTCTCCTCATAACTGGTCTAGTAGCATCAGTTGGTTCTAATTCTCTCCACTGAAGACTAACGGTATCCAGTTGTGTAATACTGTTGTGACAGCAATTATCATGGCCACATGTTCCACCAAAGAAATACAATTGATCATTTATTGCAGTGCATGAGCATGCTCTGACTCCTAATGGAGGAATACCA